AGACCAGATTATTACTGATCTTGGTAGGGGAAGTAGTGTAGAATCCGAATGATGCCCAGCTAGCATCAGTTGGGGAAGTAGTGTGGAATCCGAATGATGCCCAGCTAGCATCAGTAGGGGAAGTAGTGTAGAATCCGAATGATGCCCAGCTAGCATCAGTAGGGGAAGTAGTGTAGAATCCGAATGATGCCCAGCTAGCATCAGTAGGGGAAGTAGTGTAGAATCCGAATGATGCCCAGCTAGCATCAGTAGGAGAAGTAGTGTAGAATCCGAATGATGCCCAGCTAGCATCAGTAGGGGAAGTAGTATAGAATCCGAATGATGCCCAGCTAGCATCAGTAGGAGAAGTAGTATAGAATCCGAATGATGCCCAGCTAGCATCTTTGAGCATTTCGAGATATCTAAGATGGCTGCAATGTACAAGAAACCGAATATACTCGTCAGTTTTAGCTCGATTTTTTCATGTAATACCTCATTTTCAATGTTTTTCTGGTCATAAAATCTATCTAGAGGGATAATAGTACTATCCAGCTAAAATTGTACAACTTAAATCCAATATGGCGTCCAGCATGATATTATTGAAATGACAGTGTGCTTACATTACACATGACACTATACAGAAACTGTTTTGTTTGTGCATCATGCCTTATTTTACTAACCAGTCTAATCATAAAAACATATCATATTAGTTAAAAATGGTCTAAGTTTAAAATGCTGACAAGCGTAACACAAACAAACACAACTTTTATCGTCAATATCTGTCAGTGTTCATAGACTGGTCTGATTTCCTATTCATCATCATCTCCGTCTTCGTTTTCCTCATTATCGCTGTCTGCTGTAGCAACCAGCCACTGTGGTATGCCTATTAATTGGGTTGTTAGAGTGTGCTATAGTTGTGATGCAACACTTACACAATATGCTGCATACTATGCCAAATCGGTGACGTGAGCACCTCAGGTTTGGACAAGCCTCATTAGTGCTGCATGAGCAACACAATAGCCTCAAGACTGTTGTCTGTGCAGGCAATCCAACAGTCACAAGGGTTTTGGTAGAATTATCTGCTTTCCACCCATACTCTGTTTGACTTAGCTCTGACACTAATGCCAGTCAAGCCACTTTGACTATGTCCATAATGCATGAATGTTGTTTCTATAAACATATCAGACCACCAATTGGATGTATCAGAAACATGTCACTGTTCCTATAAACATATCAGACCACCAATTGGATGTACCAGAAGCATGTCTCACTGTTTCTATAAACATATCAGACCACCAATTGGATGTACCAGAAGCATGTCTCACTGTTTCTATAAACATATCAGATCACCAATTGGATGTACCAGAAGCATGTCTCACTGTTTCTATAAACATATCAGACTACCAATTGGATGTACCAGAAGCATGTCTCACTGTTTCTATAAACATATCAGACCATCAATTGGATGTACCAGAAGCATGTGTCACTGTTTCTATAAACATATCAGATCACCAATTGGATGTACCAGAAGCATGTCTCACTGTTCCTATAAACATATCAGATCACCAATTGGATGTACCAGAAACATGTCACTGTTTCTATAAACATATCAGACCATCAATTGGATGTACCAGAAGCATGTCTCACTGTTTCTATAAACATATCAGACCACCAATTGGATGTACCAGAAGCATGTCACTGTTTCTATAAACATATCAGACCATCAATTGGATGTACCAGAAGCATGTCACTGTTTCTATAAACATATCAGACCATCAATTGGATGTACCAGAAGCATGTCTCAATGTGTGCTCACCCTTCAGACGAGAAGACTGCACTTCTGCTGGGAGTGATTTCATTGACCTAGGGTAGTAAAGACCATAACGTGCATAATTTACAAATAAGTATGGCAACATTTGACTCACAGCCCATACATGAAGTGGCTAATCGGATTCTTGTTCTTCAATGAAGGCCATCATTATGAGAGTGTGATGCACGAAGCAGTGTTCCCATAACTTGGTTGTGTCACTTCTGTTGGATACATCTGTCAGCAATGTGTCCAGCTCATCATAAGAATTAACATCAGCAATATATTTACGGAGTAATTCTTCAGTGAGAAGCCTAAATGCCCTCACAATCTGTGGGTACTTCTTCCCAGATAACATCTTTGCTTCACTACCAAAGGCATGTTTAAGGATTTCACTGAGGTCACTGTCCGTCACGAGTTTGCCAACACGTCCACAAAAGCTCCTTATGGTATGCAGTCCTCTTAAACGTGGGTAAATGTTGCTGGACATCTCTGGTGTAGCCCACATGTTATCAACTATGACTTCGTAAATCTGTTGTTTAACTACAAATGCCTGTCCGCAATTCGAACTTAGCTGTTGAGTTTCAACTAGGAGCGGTTTTCACTGTTGTTGAGTTGGAAGGCTTTATATATCCATTAGGGGTGTAAGTCTCGTGGTAGTGGCTCGTCTTATGGTATGATTTTGACCACGGGCTACCTTTGTGGAATAACCACCATATTCACATGCATTATCATTGCTCAGAACTGATTTGAAAAACTCCATATTATACTCCCAAGCTCTGCACAGGCTAACAGTCTGATTCCTGAACATGCTACCGCGTTCATTCACTTTTACAGGGGGGTTTCATGCATATCAGGATGCTTAGGGCTGTTATGTTGTTGGATACATCAATCTACTGGTACAATCTGAATCAGTTCATTCTAGGCATCAAAAAAGTCCGTGGCTAATGCTATCTTTTACAACATGTCGGCCGCGGATGATTTAAAGTGCAACACCTCATCATAAAAACACGTTACTAAGAAGTCATAAAGGTTGTGGATGGGATATTTTCCCCTGACTGTCACTCCTAATGCAGTTTGTAGAGTTGTAGCTTTGTGCGTAATTGCATTGGTAATCATGTTTCTAATTAGATATGCAGGCAGAGTATTGTCCAGCTTTGGACTAATATGTGACAGCAAGGATGAAAGTGTTTCACTGCACTGCCATCAATTTTGATGCTGTAATTTGATGTTTTCTGCTCAACAGCTTTTAATTCATGGACAACCTGCTTGGCTACTGATTTGACAATGGCACAATCAACTTTAGTTTCCTCCACTAAACTGACCAATTGGGAAGCTTGATATCTGAACACCAGCATACTGGCTAAGCTTTTACATGACAGAACTAAGATACGGTTAGCAAAGAAATTTGATAGTTCCTCAACCAGCGCGCGTCTTTGTAAATTTACACAATTTTTTCTCTGTGTAGAGTTTAATTAGTTCTACTGAAGATCAAAAGTGGTCTGTGTTTGATTCCCTAGTTCTAGTGATCTCATTAAATGGTATATCGTTATTTTCTGGTTTCTTGGAAGTTTGAGCACTTTCAATTGCTTTTGGCGCTATGAATGTGGGCTTGCAATCCTCGTGGTAACGGGTATCGGCAACATGGGGGGGGGGCACTAAATGCCCCACGAATACGTAGTTCTACTTCTTGTGCCCATTTATCTTTTCGTTTGTTGCATACAATTAGTATGGCTTCTTTCATGAATTTTTCATCTGGACTTACAGTGGCTAACGTGTCGCCGCAGACTTGGGTTTTTAGGATCGTTGCTTTCATTGCACTCCTTACCACAAAACATACACTGAGTTTGAAAGCAAAATTCAGACATGTTGCTACTCAGTATGGTTCTCTTAAGTGGGGGAGGTTCACTGGCTCCTTGTTTCTAATTGATATAATGTACTGCTTGATTTTATATCTTAACTAGCCTTAATTATGTAGTTGATGTGATTTGGCCCAGTCAATGACAATTCATCATCAACTGGATTTGTCCCAGCCAATGACAATTCATCATCAACTGGATTTGGCCCAGCCAATGACAATTCATCATCAACTGTATTATACGCTTGTTAAAAAGTTTGAAATAGCAGTCGTAAATCCCAGAATGTTTGAACTTATTATATGACTTGGTATAGAATCACATCTGGGAAAGATGCTGTAAGTACAGCTGTACCTAATGGGCAACTACAGTAGACATTATTAGAGCTATTATTATAACATATAACAGCTAAAGCACATAAGTGCTTTATAACCCTTCAAGATAGATTTTATGACCACAAAAGCATTGGAAAAGAGATATATCATAAAAAAATCGAGCTAAAACTGACGATTATGTGACCATCTTAGACGCCATCTTGAATATCTCGAAATGCCCAAGGATGCCAGCTGGGCAACATTCAGATTATGATTGTACACATCTTCCCATATTAAAATCAATAATAATCTGGTCTGGGGGTATTTTTGAAAGGTTAAGCAAAAAAGACCCAATTGGCTGCTGGACTAATGTTAAATAAAGGCATTTTCTGTAAAAATCCAGTGAAACTGTGTGTGGTGTTTTAAGAAATTAAAACAAATACAACAGTTTTATGAAAATAAAAACTTTATAAGAAAGTTTTAGAAGAAAGTAGTAAGACTTAAAAATTGCTCCCTAGTGGCTCAGCGGCAAGACTTGTAACGAATAAAATCGGATTTTCGGCAGAGAACAGATATTGTGTAGCTTTAGGCTTAACGACAACGAAACACGCAAAAATCAGAAATTAAAATCTAGAACAAAGGTAAACATTTGAAATTGTTTCTCATAAAACATATTACAATAAATTCTTTTCGAACTTTCAAATTCTTACAGATATCACATATGCAAATAAGACGTTTTATATGCAGAAGCAATTTAACCGGCAGAGATATCTTTTGTTTTTTTTATTGAAATGCAATAAAACAAATCATACAGCAGATGTGCCGAATCGACACACCAGAGCGTGAAGGTGTATTACGTCATTTATTAATTAAAAGTTGTAAGAGTATTTCATGGTATACTCAGTCTGTGTATCTGAACGTGTGTGTTACATAATTATCTGCTAGTTAGAACAATTTTAGGACTTTATTTTATAGTGTCGAACTGTGTTGTGATATTTACAAACCGTATTTGTAATAAAGCCTTCATTAAAACTTGTATGTCAGGCAATTTTAGTTCTACGTCACTTGGGCAACAGTGACCTTCCAAATGACATGTGGACAACGTGGAGCACGGTAGTCTACTGGATGTTATCAGCATTAGTACTCATACAGATTCCTATCTGGGCAGTGATCAAGATAGTCAGGTCTGACGAGTATGGCTTAAAAAGAGTAAGTGTTAACTAATATTTTGTTATCTCATTTACACCCCCCCCCCCCAAATAAAAATAATGCAAAAGAAACTGGCCAAAAGGTAGGTGAAATAACTTATTTTCTATATAAATAAGGTAAAAAAAAACCTTAGCAGTAACAGTGGGATAAATTGTGTTATTGATAGTATTTTTTATATAAATTTTGCTTGTGACTTGCGTGTTATTAGGGTTAGTGTTACCAAAAAAGTTGTGAACCCACAAGTAGTTTTGTGCATAAATAGTACTCTTTGTGTTGTTATGTGTCATTACCCCTAGGCAACAATTGTTCAGAAAAATTTAATAAATATATTGTTGACTGCCTTCTGTTTGATTATGCATCAGTACCTATTGGCAACAACTGTTCTGAAGAATTAAATAATAACTGTATTGTTGACTGCATTCTGTATGGTTATGTATCAGTACCTATTGGCAACAACAACTGTTCTGAAGAATTAAATAATAACTAGAAGGCAGTCAACAATAAATGAAGTGAGTGACTTAACTTTCCCTAAACAAAGACTATTTTTCTTCAGTTATTTTACTGAGTGGATTCCTATCTGTATGAATTGTACATGATAACCTAAATGTTTTACCTTGTGCTCTCTATAATTAAAACATTTTTGCTACATATTTATTCAACTTGCCAATTAATCCGGTTCATTCTATAACACCATAATATCCTCAATACAGCTAGAGTTTAGTGTCATTGGAAAAACTTTACTAGTGTTCTTAATTATGCCCCTATCAATGACATCAATGTATATAAGCAAAGTCCCACTGAGACACTCCACTAGTGACAAGGGTTCAGTTTGACTGACCTTCTTTAGAATAACCTTGTTTGTTCTTCTGTCCAACCAGAATAACCTTGTTCATTCTTCTGTCCAACCAGAATAACCTTGTTCGTTCTTCTGTCCAACCAGAATAACCTTGTTCATTCTTCTGTCCAACCACTTTAAAATCCATGTAATTAGTTGTTTTTTTTTCAAACCTCAACCAGTGTGATTTTCTTATTTAATATTTTATGTGGCACCTTATCATAAGCCTTTTTAAAGTTTTAACTACATATAGTCCACATCCTTTGAGAAAAAAGATAACAGGATAGTAAAGGAAGATTCTGATTTGATGAGTCAGTGTTACTTGGGTAAGGAACACCAAACCTAATTATCACTTTTCCTAAATGTTGCCTCCAACTTTTTCAACTACAATCTCATTAATGGTTAATGATAAGTCTAACATTGCCCCATCTCTGATTGGTTCCCTGACCATTTGGTATAAAAAAACCGTCATGAGTCTCTTTGAGAAACCTCTTTTTCCTTACTACTTGGCTCCATAATATCTCGGTCAGTGTGTCTAAAATTGAATCTTCCATGATTATTATAGCAGTAGTCTTACTGAGATCAGGATAGTTACTATTATGTAATTTCTCATTGAGCCCATCTGTCTCATCAAGTGATCCAGACAATTTCCAGTTAAACATTTCTACCCTTGAAACCTGTTATCACAACCCATAAAGACTCAGATTGGTGGTTACCATTTTTGTCTTCAATCCAACAGACTGGAATTCATTTTGTATATAAAGAACCCCCCCCCCCCTCCTCTTTCAAAAGTTAATCACTGTTAAATAACTTATAACCTGGAATTTCAACTAGAACTCTGGACATACCCATTTTGCACTCTGGGGCTCAGTAGTAAGTCTGAGGGCTTATAATGAAAAAAAAACTGGTTTTCTAAAGCTGTGGGGACAGTAAAGATAGCCCATTGTGTAGCTTTGTGCTTTAACAACAAACAAAAAAAAAAACATGTCTCTCTGGTCCTATCTACCTGGCCTGGTGTGACCTGTTGATCAGGACACTCAACATGCAGTCTGTAGGTCAGGGGTTCAAATTTTGCTGTCGAACCTGCTCATGTTTTCAGCCTTTCGACAAACAAACCTATCTATTCTGTTGATTTGTTTATTCCTAATTTTCCTCACCATTATGCAAGTTCAGTTTTCCACTACTGTTAATAAATATATTTAGAGCTTTTCTAAACATCTTGTTACATTACCCACTTAAATGGAGTCCACGGGGGTACGATTCCCCTCAGTGGACACAGCAGATAGCCCGATGTGCCACTTCTTACACATAATTACCCCTAAAATCTCTCCAGCACACCTGTTACTCTAAGCCTATCCTTGATAATCTTTCCTCTAAAGTCCCCTGCTGGGACAGCAGTAAGTCCACTGATTTACAATACTAAAATCAGGGGTACGATTCCCCTCAGTGGACACAGCAGATAGCTCGATGTGGCTTTACTATAAGAAAAAAACACAAAAAGCCTTGTTTTCTGCTAAGTTCATTCATGCACCTAGCTCAAGGGGGTCACTCTGAATAGGCTACATGTCTATATACATATCCCTAGACCTCTGAAAGAGACCTTTATACTTTTTTTATAACATCTTTCACTTGTACATGCGCTACAGAAAAGAGAGAGTTTCTTGACACCAGCAACTAAACTGTCAAATCATGCACTCCATAATGTCCTCTACTTCAGCACCTGGTAAGCAGACCCTATTCCTTCTATGCTTTCCACCACAAACAACATTATTAATATACAGTATAGTTAATGAAAGAGTCCCCCACTGATCAGCTCATCCCTCACTGTAAGCAGACAAAGGTTCAAATACTGGTACCTGAATGCAAAACAAATTCGGATCACACCTTCAATATAAACGGCAACCAACTAAACATCAAGACTGAAGAAAATGATCTAAACAATAATGGTGGATAAGTCACTCAATTCATCTAAGCAGTGGTCTGTTACTTGTAGTAAAGCCAATAGAATGTTAGGGTGTATTTATAGATTCAACTAAACATCATGACTGAAGAAAATGATCTAAACAATAATGGTGGATAAGTCACTCAATTCATCTAAGCAGTGGTCTGTTACTTGTAGTAAAGCCAAT